CCTAAATTACTTCAATCTGGCTTTTTTTTAATTTTTGAAATTAAAAATTCCCGTTCACCAGGAATGGCCTGTCCCTCTCCCGGTATGCGGCTTAAGGCCCGGGAGAGCGTGATGCCACCGCATCAATCAGGCCTTTAATCTGGCTTTTGACATATACCTCTACAATTACTTTAGCTAGTCAATTTAAGTTGGCAAGTTAAATGTAAGATGGCATATAATGGATATTTTCAGATTTTACCTGAAGTGACTTCTCAACAGCATTTATTCTATTAACAACTTCTTCCTTCAGGATGCTGTCTTCTCCCTTAACTTGAAACCAACATCGTCCAATTCTCCTTCTCTACCTCTACTGCTATTCTTTTTAAGCTTATTAATCCACCTGCCACTTAAATACCAGTATTACTCAGGATTAATCCATCCCTAAAATTTATAAAATTACTTTATATAATTCCTTTTGTGAAACAATAAATGCTGTGAAACCACTGCCTAGAAAAAGTTAAGATAATGGACTGAACACAAATGTGTATCTCTTCTTACGCCACAATAAAGGCAAGAAATTTTATGAATAAGAAGAATAAATCTATAATAGTACTGGAAAAAGGAAATGATGCCTTCAGAAGCAATTCTGAAGTTAGAAATTAAAAGAATGGAGAAATTCAAGAGCACAGAAACTACAGCCTAAAACAAAGTCAGGGGTTCATGGTCACCAGCCTGTCATATACATATATACTTGGGTTTACCAAAAGTACTTCCAACTCAACATGCTTAACTAGAACTTAAAATCTTCCCATAAAGATATTTCTTTAACTTCCAGTTCCCTTTCCTGGTTATGGTAGCAACATCTACTTAGTCACTCAAGCCAATTCTCGACACTCATCTTTCCTTTTATTCTTGTTTCACATACATGCATTCTTCTATGTTCTACTGATGTCACCTTTTAAATTATTCCTTAAAAATACCTGCTCTTTTCTTGGCCCTGTTATCATTACTTTAGTTCAAGGCAACACTTTCCATTGCCCAGAGTATGGCAATGTCCCCCAATTCAGTCTCCCTTACCTACCTTCAGGCTTGGCACTAACCCTTGCTAAATCCATTTTTCACAATGCAGCCAAAAAGGTTTTTCTAGAATATCAATATGATCATTCTATTTGCCTGTTCAAATGTTATGCTGGTTCCCATATCCTATATGTATTACAAGAATCACTTCTTCCTCTTATATTCATGGTAGATATGAATAATTGATCATGACTAGAATGACCAAATGCCCAATTTGCCTGGGACGGACATATTTTACACATGTTGTTCTCAAATAATTATCAGTGGAGCCCCTTTCACTCCCCAAAAGTGTCCTATCAGGGACAATAAATTACACAGCCACCTTAGTCACAATTTTTCTCTGAGCTTGAATTTCGTCTCAGAATCTTCAACACAATTTTTAGGAAGCCATTCATAATTGATCAGAGTAGACAAGCAAGATTTAAAAAAAAAATCTTATTTGCCATCCTTAAAATACAAATTCCTTTGCATACCATATAGGATCCTCCATGAACTGGTCTGTCTGCCTCTGGCCTAATTTCCTACCTCTTCCACCTCACAGGTTATGGACTAGTCACAGTGACCGGCTTGAAGAGTTTAGAAATATACTAGGCTGCTTTACTCCTAAATGCTCATGATATTCCTTCAAACCGGAACACTGTTCCCCTTTATTTAAATTCTATTCCTCTTTGAGAGGTAATTAAGGCATGGCAGGCATTTCCTCCTCTGGGAAACTTGCCTTTACATCCTCAGTTATCCTCCTCATCTCTGATCCTGAAGCCTAGTCCTATTAATCTTTTACCACGGTATATTAAAATCACTTTCTAAATATCATTATTTGTCCCAACTTAGACCCGTTGGCACAAAGCAATAGTTCAATAAATGGTTCTTCAGAATTAGAAAGTGGATGAAGGAATAAATTAATAAATAATCGTTGCTTGTGCCTTCAGAAGCTCATGAAAACTATATAATTGTATGTACTGTTCTACATAGTTGGTAAAGCAATTTATTTTCATAATTCATAATCAAACTTGTCTGCATGCCTCCTCCCCTACACTTTGTTCTTTTACAGCAAAATTACTACTTCACACAGTAAGGGAAATTTTTTTTTAGCTATGTCTACTTTACTAAATATTCTATCAAACTTAGAAAAACAAAGACCCCCACCATACAATTTTTGCTTTAAAACAATTGAGTGGGGAGCTGGGAGAGAAAGAGAGAACACTACAAATATGAAGAATTTGTAATAGGTGCTTGACAATTCACTAACATCAATCATACAGTATAATTTGCTGATATTAATTTAGCCACAAAAGTGCTACTGTACTAATAAAGTTAGTCTGAGAGTTCCTTAAAATCAGGAACTATGTATCATTCATACTGTAGTTAATAACTGGCATAAGACAGGGCCCAGAAAATGTTTTCTGAATCTATTTGTGCAATTTCAAATAAAGTTTCAAACTTAAAATATTCAATTAAGAGAAATCAGTTCCACATATAACAGATACAGTAATCACTTGTGTTAAAGTTCTAATACAAGCAAATGTACCAATTTAGTATTTTCCTTCTGAATTTGCAAAACAGGTAAATACCATAGTCTGATTCATAACCATGAATTGACATCAAATTAAGGCTTTTAGGATATTAATAAGAGTTAGGTAAGAAAGGGGCCCCAGTTCAAAAGTTTGGAGAATCCTGAAATACAGATAAGTAGATTTCTTTGTTGTAACAGTATCTCAGGGTCATTACTATAGTCCAAAAGAGGGATATA